TTCCGCCCGGCAGCGAACCCCCAACTAAATTTTTGAGTCAGCCCGCACCGACGATCTCTGCCCACCAAAACCAGCTATTCTACGACCCGAGCGCGTGTATCAGATGGTATGCAGATGGAAGAACCAAATTCTCCGAACCTATGCGAATTTTTCCGAGTGTGGTTCGGGCTGAGTTGCACGCCATTGAAATGTGCGTGCGGTTCAGCTTGGAAAGTGGGTATCGGGGACAAGAGATAATGATTATGTCGGATAGCCGGGCTGCGATCAGAGTGCTGAACTTGTTTTCAGTATCCTCCGCGGCAGTATGGGGCTGTCTTGAGAAGCTCAATGATTTTGGCAGATGTAACCGGTCACACTGTGTTGGGTGCCGCACCATGTGGGCGTGTAAGGAAATGAGGCCGCTGATGCGCTTGCAAGGAAGGGGGCAAACATACCTCTTCTTGGGCCGGAGCCCTTTTTCGGAATTGGACCACATATTATTCGTTGGGAATTAAGGAAGGAATCAAAAAGAAGGCGGTCGGAGCGCTGAAGAAGTCTTCCGGGGCTGTGGCAAGCCAAGGAGCTCCTGGGAGATTATGACTAGAAGCGATTTAAGAAAATTATAGGGGTGGGCAAGAACCATCACCAAGAGAGTCCTCAACGAAATTTTGACGGGTCGCTGCAGGATTAGGGGACACCTCAGTCGGCTGGTCCTGGAAAATGAGGATACTTGCAGATTTTGTGGGGAGTATGGGGAGACCTCGGAGCATTTCCCGGGGGAGTGTGATGCTCTTGCTCATGGGAGGAGGGAGGTGCTGGGGGCTCAAGCGTGTGTTGTAGGGCACGCCTCGCACTCAGATGGGAGCGCACAATAGATCCTTATATGTGGCCGCGGTGCACTGTTGCCCCAGTTGTACAAATCTACAGAACCCAATTTCAGCAATTGCAAGGCCTCCAATGAAACCTTCCTACAATCACAACAAAACCGACAAATACCTGCAGTCTCACGAATACGATCAGCAACACTGCCCCCAATGCTAAGACATTTCGAATGAAAAGCCCTGCCACAAATTCCTGAGCATACCACATTGGTATCGGCCCTAACATGCTGATACAAATATTTATTTCTTTTTTTTTATGCCGATACATAAAAAAAAAGAAATAAATAAAAAAATAAGAACAACAATAACAAATTGTTGGCCAACAAAAAATGTAAATAAGAACAATAAAAATAAATTATTGATCAGAAAGAAAGAAAAAAAAAATAAGGCCAGCAGACCAAAAAAAAACCGCCAATAAACCAGGAAAGGGTTAATGAAATATGGAATAACCGAGAAGGCAACAGAAGAATAACTGTGAAAAGAAAAACACTCAAGAGAAAACGCTCGAGAAATTAAAATAAAATAATAACAATTGAAAACAAAAATGGCACCAAAAAATTATTCGAAAAAAAATATACATATAAAAAACAAAAAAAAATATATCATATATAAAAATAAAGGAACAAAATTGTTATGAAATATTCAACAAAAATAATGAAAAATATTTAAATTGGCAAAAAAAAGGAGTAAAAAGATAACATACCAAAACAACATAGACTTACGAGAAAAACGAATCATTCAGAAATAATCTAATAAAACAGAAACGGACACACAAAAAAAATATACCTTAAAATATTAACAAATCGCTGAACAAAATAATAAACTCAAAATTCAAAAAAAAAAAAATATCACATATAATTAACTAACATTAAAAAATTAACAAAATAAAAACGATAAAAAACACAACACTAGAGTAAAAAAAATATTTTGTTTATATTAATAAAAGTAATACAACAACTCAAAAATATAAAAATATAAGCAACCAAAAATCTACAACTTGTCACAACAAAAGGCAAAACAAGACTCGGAAGCTAAATAAAGATGGTAGCAACAACTTAAGAAAGACTTGAAAAGAAACTTTAGCTTTAAAGCATAGCTGATTTGTGACATATTTTAATATGATTTATCTAGCTACGTTTAATATATCACAAATCAGCTATGTGTATCACTACAGAATAAATATTGCTAGTTTTGTAATATTTTTAGCAACTTCAGACATAAGGTTGTAGTTATGTTTTTTGGCTACTAAAATAATTACCAGTCTTTTCAGTGTGTTGTGTTCAAACGTGAAACATGAAAATGAATAGCAAACGACAAAAACTCAAATATACAAAAAAAAAAACTTTTACATGTCTTTTAAGTTTTCAAATTTGAAAAATTGAACGGTGCGAATGCAACTCTCATTTAAATGTGCGTTCGGTTGAGTACGAAAACAAAACATATAGTGTAAATATTTGTGGAAAATTTCAAAAAACAAACGTGGTAATTTTAAATTCAATAAGGATATACGCAAAATATAATTTTAGTTTAATAAAATTTCTGCTTTTTACATTATTATGTAATGTAATGTAATACTTATTATATTACATTTATGATATACATACATTATCTGTTATAAACTTTAAATCTAATACGTATATTATTCGATGCATCCAATACTGAAATACATACAATATTCTTTTATTCGGTAGTAAAAACTATTCAATATGCAAACATACGATAGTACAAATCACTCGCTACTGCCCATCACTACAAAATATATAGTAATATGAAAGACATAATTATAACCAAAGTACATCTATTAATAAGTAGTTCGACTCGTTCCACTCCGTTAGTTTTCGTTTGCATTTTGCTTCCAAATTCTTAAAATATTCCATTTTTATTTAGGAATAGATGGTAATAAGAGTTGTGTAGGCAGGAAAGAAACAAAATATTGTAAACAGAAAACATTTAACTGAAATAAAATTAAGTTACGAAAAATTTTGTTATTTTTATTTTGATAACAATTTTTTTTTATATTTTATTTTTCATTTTATAAAAGTTAGGTAAAAACATTCGAATGTATGAAAGTAATAGTTATAAATTTAAAATTTCATACTTTCTTATACCGTACATACCTATTCAAGATAGATACACAACATAATGTAGAAATATGCATGTACCCCGTGAGAAAAACTCGGTTGTTGAGTTGAACATGTGCATAACAGAACACAGACACCATTTTGAACGGTTGTATACAGTAGTATATTTTTCTCAATCACTCCTACACCCGATCAGGTAGCGTGATGACTCATACACCAAATTAAAATTCAGTTGTCAAGGTTGCCACTTGTGCTAAAATTGGAGAAAGCTCCCATGTTACGTCACCTAGAAAATTAATGTTTTTTTAAAAATGAAAAGTTAAAATTTCAACTCTTTCGAAATTTAAAGTCATGCGATTCCGAAATCTGAACAGAAAGCCCTTGCTCTGAGGTTTCCAAATCATATTTGTTAATGCGGCTATGTTACACAGTCGCGGAGTTATACTTAAATCAGTCGAAATTGACTTTAAGCCTCTGTGGCTCCGAACCTGTTGAGCTGTGAACATGGTCTCCATACAAAAGTTTTGTCTACTCATGGGGGCCTATACAATGACATATAGTAGTGCACTTTGTTACAAGATAGCCTGTATATACATGTCCATATCGCAGATGACTCCTTCAAGGGGATACAAACTCCGTACCAAAGTTAATATACCCTTCACGAAGGTGCAGGGTATAAAAAATATGTACTTCAAATTTTCTTACTATAAGTTAATAAGATTACAACTTGCAATTTTTTTAAATAATTCTTTTGAGTTTAAAACGCTGCTTACCACTTCAACATAAAAAGAGTTTCTCAATTTAGTTTTAATCAAATTAACACATGAAAGTACCTTTTCATCTGCCGCACTACAATGCGCTAACCTTAGGTGGCTTTGATTAAATTCTTCAAGTTTTCAACAATATACTTGATCGAATTCAATTAAAATGTCAAATTTGCAATATTATCGTTCATTGAGCAAATTCTATATATAAACATATTTCAACTGCTGACGTTGTTGAATTTTCCTGTTTGGTTATGTGACTCTTTAACTCTCTAATTGATTAGCTTGAGTACAAAGAGATAAGTGGTGGCTTTAAAATTAGCAGAAAAAGGTATATGTACATAGTTTCGTTAATCAACGTAATGTCAACGAATTTTTAAATATAGCAAAAGAAGTTTGTTTTTACTTACAAATTATATTTTTCAATTGAAATTTTTCTTCAAGAATAATTATTAAATTGTTTTTGGTTCTGACTATGGAAAAAACAAAATCGGAGCCAATATGCAAAAGGAGGAGCCGGGGACACAAATTTTCAAATCGGAACCAAACGACAACTCTGGAGCAAACTATATGAATGCAGAATAATTTTTTAAAGCGAGTATAAAATTTAGCATAAAATTTGTATGTGTTGTTCACCATACAAAAAATAATTTCCTCGAAAAAAAGTTCTGTCCAGTATAAAACTTGAAAAACTTTCAAAGGAGAAAACAGTGACAAAAAGAAAAAAATTCTCATTTCAAAGAAAAAAATAGGATGAAGAACTTGAAAAAACATTTGAAAACTTTATAAATAGGCGATAAAAGAAATAAGTATTTTTTGAAACATGAACAAACATTTTTTGATTTTGATTTTACGATTATTGAAAACCGAAAATTTATATAAAAATATGAAACTTAAAAATAACCATTTGGGAATCCATTTTGTTTATTTTATTTTCAATTAAAAGAGTAAAAAATAACTATTGTTTGAAAAATAAAATCTTCTGACATAACCAAGAAAAACATATATTTTGACAGCTTTAAGAATAAAAGTTTTTAAAACACTAAATTTTACTTTACAAAACTTGACAAAACTTTTAAATACTGAGGTAATGACAACGTAGTCATTCTCTCATTTTTGTTCAAAATTATGTATACGAGTATAAATGCCTTTATAAAGTTTTTAAAAATTTTTTAAAAGGCAGACCTATAATATTGTACTTACTATTGAACCGCAATGTATATCACAATTTACGAACTGTTACCGTAACATGCAAGTAATTGAACTGTCAAACTTATTTAAATTCAGAATAAAATACAATCATTATGTTAGATAATATTTTATTATATGCATTACAGTTTTATTTTATTAGTAGAACTGCATTTTTATAATTAATTATTTTACAATAAATTTTTGTTAAATTTAAATATTAGAGATTGGCCTGTATATTTGGATTATAAAGTAATGCAAATTATACGTTATATGTGACTATTTTTATTATTGATAAACAATTTCATTGTGTACATACCTATAAGTTTATATGTATTTCGTGCACTAACATGGATACGAATTCGGAAAAAGTGCCATGTGTAAAATTAAATTCTGAAGAATTGAAAACAAGTTTGGTTGCTGAAATTCACCAAAATACCAAAGGTTTGTATTGATTATTTAGCTGATAAGTTTCATATAAATGAATAATCTCCCATTGAAAGATTTTAGAGGCAATAGACGATTTTTGATAATTCAGAGATGTATAAAAAAGTCTAAACCCAAAAATCTTTTCACGTACATATACTTACAAATTTACAGAAACAATATTGTACTTTTTGATTTGTAATTTATTCGAGTGGTTCTTCGATATCCAACATTTTTTATCTCTTCAATTTATAATATTTCTCTTGTAACCAAAAAAAATTAAAAATATTTTTCAGAACTTTCATTTTGGAAATGTTATTTTTGCAGATTTTGCACTTTGGATTTGCTTTACTCTATGATTCATGCTAGAACAAATTGTCGAAAGTTCCTATAATTTATATTGCGACCCAATTTTTTTTGGGATTGTCGTTGTTTTTTTTTTCTTAGTACCTATAACTTTAAAAATTCTTGCCTATATTGAGTATTATGCAGTTCATGCTTAAAAACCCGGAGAAAATCGATTCCGAATCATTATTATTATCATTATTTTTATACTTTTAATATATGTAATCTATAAAAAAGATAAAATTTGAATAATATTAAATATTTCAATTACCATAGAGCTATGTTTAAATAACCAGTTTGAGACCAATTTTCAAAATTTTTAATTATGGTGGCTGACAAAAATATAGGCCTGGACCCTTAGAGAGAGTGACAATTCACAGCGGACGAATTTACACGTATTCTTATTGGCTCTTTTCAACATCATTAATCTCCCCAGACATCTTTATTCTCTCCCTTATGTCTTTATAATTTCCCACAAAATCCTCCTTTTTTCAAATTTTTAATTAGAAAAAGTTTTTTAATTAGAAAATTCAATCTTTTTCTACTTTACTAGTGCTTACACTCTTAAATTTTTGTGTTATTAAAACATTAAAATTTGATTTAAAAAAAACCTTCCAAGTTCCGTTAATTTTTTTTTAAATTTAAATTTCAATAAATGCTACATTACAAAAAAAAAAATAGTGCAATTTTTTTTTCGAAGTATTTAGTTGATTTTGGTGTATTTTTCCAAATTTGAGAAAATGTACATTTGATATTAACGAGCTTGCTACTTTTATATAATATGTCTCCCAAAATGCATACTTCTGATATAATCACATATGTATGTACATATCTATATATTTTTCATGTGTATGCTATATTAATTTAATTCATATTCACTTTTTAATTAAAAGTTTTTAAAGTAATTTTACTTTTATTAGGAAGCGTAATTCGCTGATTTACCTAAACTACCGCATAAGGTATATAAAAACTTATACAAGTTTCTTTATAATATCTTTATTATGTTTTTTTATATAGGGGACGACTTGAAACGCGTTCCCTATATAAAAACTTTTATAATGATTATAAAATTTTAAAAGCACTTTCATAATTATAAAATTTAAAATCAAATAATTACAAACTTAAATTAAAATCTAGCAAAATTTTTTTGAACTTTTTAAGGCGTGTATTTTTGACTAAAAAATATAGAACCAATTTTTTTTTTAATCAGTGTATCATCATTTTTTACTTACAATTCTCTCAGATATGTTGCCTGACATGGCGGTACAAAAGAATGAGAAAAAAACTCGAAAATATATTTAATCAAAATTGTGGTTAAAATTTTGAGTTGAAATTTGAATTTTAGACATGTTGTTCAAAAAACTCCAAATTTCATTTTAGTATAAGAATTTTTAGGTTTTAATTAACTTTTCGTAAAGAAAACTTAAAATAAAAATAGGCAAAAATCATAATTTTTCTAAAAAAAACAAAAAAAGGATTCTTCAGGAATGTCCTTTTGCCAAAATATGCAATTTTACAATTAGATCACAAAAGAAGCAGGGTCCAGCCCCTTGATTTTTTGTAATGTAAAGGTACGTACTATTTTAAATATTTGATATGTATGTATGTATATAAATTTTTATTGTATGTATGTACTATTGTAAGTATTAGATTTAGATATGTAGTTCTTCATCTATTATGCCAAAAATAATATAGGTTCTCTTAATATCTTTATTATTTATATTTTTATTAGACATGTCTGTCCGTCCGTTCGATAGCAAGATAACTCAAAAACGAATAAAAGAAACAACACCAAATTTTCACAAAATGTTTCTATTCTGCCAAGGACGGACCCCATTGTAACTGGATAAACTTGGCAAACAGGTTCAGGTAATTGCCGTGAAATTCAACGAGAGGATTGTTGCATATTTTAAAAACTAATATAGTCCAATTACATTTTACATGTATGTATTCAAAAAATTTGATAGAATGGTTGCACTGGTTTGGAGCTGTCATATAAGTATAAAAACTAATTTTTAATATTCGAAAAAATAATAAAGTTAGATTTATGAAACTTGGCAGTCACGTATTCAATTATGGGTCAGACACATTGAATAAATTTTGGTAGTGTGACTTGAATGGTTCGGGTAATATCCAATATTAGCTTAAAAGCTAATAAGTATTGAATTTTTCAAAAAAATAATAAAGTTGCCTGCATGCTAGATATATCCTTGAAGTTTTTGAATTATATATCACCCACATTCATAAAGTTTTTATGAGATGGTTAGACAGGTAAGCCATACAACTGTGAAAGTTAATTCTAAATATTTCAAAACATTTTTATATTGTTATTGTAGGGTATGACTCAGTCCGTTCAAATTGACTGCAACGTTTTAACTTGTTTTAGAAATCATTAAGGATGTCTATGCAAAAAGCTTTAAAATTTTACATGTAAAGATTGCTAGTTTTTAATATTAGCTCAAATGAAAATAAATGTAGATACCTTTGAATGCTAATTAATAAATTTTCATAAATTTTTAAAATATTTAAATTTTCAATTTCTTTTTTTATAATCATTATAAGCATTCAATGATCAATGTTAAAACGATATAATAGTAGTTTAATACATACTTACATATGTGCATGAAAACTAAAAATAAAATACATATTTTTGGGAAGTATAGCGCTGGTAAATTTTTAAGTTCAGTTGCTCGTCTTTTTTGTTGAAAATTACTGTTTTTGTGTTTTTTTTAAATCCATTATTTCACAATTACAATTCACAAATCCATTCTACAATTTTGTAGGATTTATAAGGAAAATTGAAAACTTTAAAAGCTAGAAAATTAATAAAAAAATCAAATTAATGAACGTACAAAAAAACTCAAAGTAATCCTTGTTTATGGTAATTGTCGAGGTTAGGTTTAACTACAATAAGAATGGAACTTTATAATTTTATAAATAAAATTCCCTTAAATATACTTCGGACCTATTATGCAATCGATTCGGCATTTTAAATACATGAGTATATGTATTGGTACCCACCACAATTAGCAGAAATGGACCCTAAGAGACAATGACAGTTCTAACAGGCCTGGGCCCTAGGAGAGAGTGACAGTTCAAAACTGACGATTTTACACGTATTCTTATGAAAGTTATAAAGGGCCCTTATTAGTATCATAAATCTCCCACATGATCAACTATTAACAAATTTTGAGTTACAAAAAGTTAAAATTATATCTTTTTGTATTTTATTAGTGCTAACATTTTCTATAGTTTTGTCTAAACCTTCCAGACTTTGTTAATCTTTTCAAGATTTTAATAAATGCCTATGCTAAAAGAATAGTTTTTTTTTTCTTTGAAGTATTGATTTGGCTTTTATGCATTTTTACAAATTTCAGAAAATGTACGTTGTATATTAATCGCTTTGCTAATTATTAATGAGATGTTTCCCACTTATTTGTGTATATTTATATAATTACACATAACGTAAGTATCGGTATTTTTCATAGGTATACTATTTAATTATATTTGTATGCTTCATGATTCATTTAATCTATTTTATACATCTTTTCATTTCACATAATTCTTCTTAGGAATATATGTGAGTTTAGTTATACATATTAGGATACATGTATGTATGTATATTCATACGGGAAATAATAGAAATACATAATATGTACATTATTATGCTATAATTATTCTATTCATTACACATCCGCGTCAGGTACTTTAAAACTAATATAAATTTCTTTAAATTTAAAATATTTTTGTTCGTTTTTTTATATGCGACAACTTGAAACGACGCATTTTTATAATATGTAATTATAAATAATGTGTAATTATAAAAGCACTATAATAAATATGAAACTGAAAATCTTATCTAGTTGTAATAAAATTTAAAGAGAAAAACAATAGTCCACACACATAATAGGTAGTTGTAATGAGGATTTCAATATGCATTTTTTCTTATGAGAAGTACATATGCGTGTCAAGAAAAATATACAAACTTACATACATAATAGGGTTATTTGTGTCCAACAAAAATTGTGAAACAATTACATATATACATATTTATAGGCTTATTATGTATGTCGAATTCATGTATTGCATACTATTTTTAACATAATGCTGCATTATGCAATACATGAGCTATGTATGACTTGTCAAATTTTTTTGACCTGGCGAATTCGCCAGCTTTTGGTTTTATGAATAGCCTTACCAAAATAGACTGGCAGTTGAGCATTTCCTATTTATACATTTTCCGTAAAAAAGATTTAGGATTTACACAATAAGTTTTAAAGTATCTTCAAACATAGTGAAGTGTTTGCTAAAATTAATATTGACAATTGATTGAAAAAGTAAATACATATATTCTTTTTTAGCACTTCATTTTTATATTCCACATATTTCACTTCTTTAAATGTTTTTCTTGAGTTATGTTAGTTAATTAAGTTAATTGTAAGTTTTTCTTCATAAAACACTTTACTCATAAAAAAAACTCAATAGAATAAAAATACTATTAATAACGAAATGAAATATAAAAATATTAAATTTTTTTAGCAGGAACTTACTTTTGGGAGTATTAGCAGGAATTTACTTTTGGGAGTAAAATTCTCTAGGGGAATCTAAAAATGTGAACAGAGCTACTTTTCAATTTTGGGTGAAAATAACACTAGACGAAAGCTTCTTTTACTTTTCTTGGGGGTATTTTGTACATCAGGGCCTTATTGCATCAATCACTTTTTCCTTTCTTTTCAATCATTTAATCAAAAAATTTGCAAAACTTCTGTTGCATCAAAAGCCAAAACGATGATCATTTATACAAGAGCTGGGGAACCTTTGTACCCTTAGATAGCATATTTAAAATCATATAAATGTAACTTTTGCAAAGTCATTGCTGTTGGAATAAAGAACTTTACCTTAAGAGGCGGGACCGCTCTGAACTGTACTAATAAAAAAATACCTTTTTTAAAAAAGTCAAAATGATAAATAATGCCAAAGAAATACTGATGTCCCAAATACATAGTATAATATGTAAGATATGGGAACTAGAAATATTACCAGAAAACTGGAAGCGAGGTATTATTGTGCCCGCACACAAAAAGGGTAACAAGCTTGACTGCGCTAATTTCAGAGGCATCACCCTTTTTAATGTGGCATATAAAATATTCTCAAATATCAGAAATAGAAGACTCCAAACAATTTCTGAAAATATATTAGGAGAATATCAATGCGGATTTAGACAAAATAAATCTACTGTAGACCAAATATTTCTTTTAAGACAAACCATGGAAAAGTGCTATGAATATAATAAAAACTTAGACTTACTTATGATCGACTTTCGTCAAGCTTTTGACTCTATTAGACGTGAAATAATAGAACCAGTTTTTAGAAGGTTGGGAATTGGAAATAAATTGATATGGTTAAATTTACACTAAGTGACACTAAATGTAAAGTAGCGGTACAAAACAAATTAACGAACGAATTCCAAATCGAAACGGGAGTCAGATAAGGTGATGCTTTATCAACCACTATTTTTAACATAATGCTGCATTATGCAATACATGAGCTAGATCGAGGCGGACACATATGCAGATGATCTTGCAATTGTGGCCAGCTCTTTTAATGAAATGAAAGAAATGTTTTTAATATTAGAGAGAAGACCTTTTTCTGTGGTTCTGATAATCAATGAGTCAAAGACGAAATACCTGCTAATGACCCGAAATGATACAAGAAGGTACCCTTAAAACATAACCATTGACAATTACAACTTTGAAGGCGTAAGACATACCCGGGCGCCTTAATAAATAACAAAAATGATATGCACATAGCAATTAATGAAATAATTTTAGCGGCACAAAAATGTTACTCGTATAATACATACAAACGGCTTCTCTAATCCAGGCTAATAGCCAGGTTAATAAAAATTAGAATATACAAGACGTTAATTCAACCTGTACTAACATATAGCTGCGACACATGGGCCATGACAACAAGTGACGAGGAAAAGTTAAAAATATTTGAAGGAAAACTGCTCCGAAAAATATTTGGTCCAAAATTAAATGAAAATGGGGAATATGAAATAAGATCAAATCGGGAACTAGAGTGACCAATTGATGGAAAAACCATCGTCAAATATATTAAGGGACACAGACTAAGATGGTCAGGACACGTATCTCGAATGCCAGAGCATCTAGCGCAGAAACGAATTCTAGACGCAAGGCTAGATGGCTCGATGATATAGAGACTGATTGCAGAAGAATTGGGGTCCATGACTGGAAGGCAGTTGCCAAGAACCAAAAGCTGAAGTTTGGCAGAAAATTGTGAACGAGGTTAAGGCTCACCCGGAGCTGTAGAACGAAAAGATGATGATGAAAAAAGTCAAAAGTAAAACTGGTTGGTACAACAGGACCCTTATATTACACGCAATTCTTTTTACCGACCGCGTTGTATGCATTTTTCAGGGACGCACTTTTCCATAGTAGGAAGCGTTAATAAACTACTAAAGAGATGTCGGTCTGTCGGTTTTTGTGTACATGTGTGTGTTTCAAGTTCGGTGAAATCGATTTTCATGAAATGTTATATGTTAATTTATTTTAGCTATGGCACGGATTGATAAACTTTTGGGATATATCAGACCTCTGAAACTAGAACTTTTTGCAGGCCAATTGTTGGGGGTGTTAAAACAATGAATCTATGAATTTTTGGAAATATCAGGGCTCGGAAACTAAATTGGAGGCCGCTTTGCTTGCATCTTTTACTTAATGGGATTAATGGAATTTCTTGAAATTTGATATTTGACTTCTGGCTGTTACCGAATCTATCTGGTCATTTTAGGGAATTATGGTGACATAAAGTGAAACTCTCCTCACAGGCAAATTTACACTTTTCTAGTTATATTAGCTAATTTCGTTAAAAATAAAAGGAAGAGTTCTAAATGCATTTTCATAATCTCCTGTAACACTTTCACTAAACTAGGCAATATACATTCATGTATATGTGTTCACCACATCAGATTTTTTTATACTTTTTTTACAATATTTCGGAATAACACGGTTCATAAAAAAAATTTTTACACCAAATATTCATTCAATACGTTTTTATTTTCAAATATTTAAATTTGGAGTGTACAGACAATGAATCTATAATTCTTTGGGAAAGATCCGAGCTCGGAAACCGATCTGGGGGCCGATTTTACATTTTTTATCATACCTACGAAACGGATTAATAGAATTGTTTGAAATTTAATATTTGAGTTCTGGTTATTACCAAAACTAACTAACCAGCATTTCATGGCATTCGGATGGCACAAACCGAAACTCTATTAAGAGCCAAATTTACATTTTTCTAGGTATATTAACTAAAAGCTTACTAGCGCTCTGCAAAATTGGAAGGAAATATTTAAACGGCAGTTTTATAATATTCTGTAACACTTTCAGTTAACTAAACAATACACATTGCGGTTGGTTATGTGCTGACCACATC